CATAATGGTAACCAACAATTATTCATGTGTTACTGAGACATTTTTTAAAACAGCTGGCAGGTTTAAACCACACTTTTTGACCACCAATTAGCGCTTATTGTATTCTATTAAAACATTTCATCTGAGTGGAATTTAAATTCTTTAAAATCATGAGCAATAATAACAGACAAGCACAGATAAACCCAGCTTTTTGTTTGGGGCTTTTAGGATATAAACATTTATTTTGGTACCATGGATTAGCTATACAGCTTTATAAGCACTACAGCTAACACCAATCATTTCACTCTGACCTTATATTCTGTTTCTTTTTTTTTTTTTTTAAGTAGACATTGACATGTAAGTGATGATAATATTGCCATGTATTTGAAAACAGCTCAAGTTTTTATTTTTATTTTTTACATTATTTTACATTTGGGCCACCAAAAATGTACTTTGGCCACCAAATAAAAGTATCAATATAATAGTATCAGAATAATCCAAATTTGAGCAAAGTTTGAACTATTTATGCCAGAATGTTGCTCACAGTTATAGTTATATACACTCTAATGCATATATACCATCGCAGCTGAACCCTTGTGTTCCTACATGCTAAACAGTGTTAAAAAATGTAAGTTGATTGAAGTTACACCACAGTGATCGATTTAAACAACGAAGCTGAATAGGCAAATTAATTTACTTTCTGGGCTGTACTTGATCTCCTGTGTATTTTTTTTTTAATTCAAATTGAAACAACAGATTTTCTTTTGACAAAGGGGCAGCATACAAGAGCACTAAACCAGAGACTTTATAAAAACATGGACGTATTCTCAGTGATGTCACCCATTAATATCTGAAGTGGCTTTACAAAGCTCAACAATGGTCACCATATTGGAAATGATGACTCCAAACAGGACAAACAGCTGGAGTTGGGTTGCGCTAATGAATTTCATGGTTGCTATTTAACTGAAGTGATACCTATAGCCTCCTGCCAAACAGGTAAGACAGGCCCACCTGTCAGTCAAATCAGCCATGTCACTTATTAGGCCTAATTATGCCTAGTTCTTAGCCTAATATAATCAAAATGGATGAGTTAACAAAAATTCCTCATCTGTATGGTTTTCATTGATAAAGAAATTAGCTATATAGATCAAATCTCTAATTTCAACCAGGCTGTAAAATATATACTTCTGCTGTTAAAATGTAATATAGGCTAGAAAGGGGCATCCTTGGCTTTTGCATGCCAGACTCAAGTGGAAACTCGAGGAACTGCAGTATTTTGCTCCTCTGCATTGGCTTCATTTGTCAACGCCAGAATGTTGCTTGCTGTTAACATAACATTGACCTGCTATCACCACAGCTGTGTTTTTTTTAAATAGACCAAGTAGAAAAGAAGCAACACTAGAATTGATTTGGGGAAGTTGTTTTGTTCACCTAACAAATGTAAGTCAACAGGGAAATGTCCACCTCTGTAGCTGCTTAATGTTCCACTATGCTCACCTGATAGTCATTCGATTTGTTTGTCTGTCATGTGGTGCTTGTGAGAATTGTAGGTTTATCTGAGTTTTTTGACTGAAAGTACCTGCTGAAAACAAGGCTGATGAGAATGGTGAGTGTGAATCAATATAGTGACGTTCAAGGAAACAACAAATAATTTAAGTACATTATCTGTGGGTTGCTTTGAACTATACCTTTTAATGTTTGCCACAGGATTTTTAGTCAATTATTAAAAAGACTCACTAACAAAATGAGTCTTGGCCAGTATTTATTTTATTATTTGATACCCCTCTGAACTACATAAATACAAAAACAGAGCGGCATAATAAGGTGTGTTGACACTTTCACACTGCTGAAAAACATGGGTTTATACCAGGTCATTGTTTCGACATAACAAATTATTCTGGTCAACAGCTATAGGACAGAAAGCAGGAGTGTTCATGGGAAATGGAGTCTAAATGATAAAGAAGGTATCACATGATAAAGGCAATAGAATATGGTCCTGATTTTGTCCATAGCATTACTTTAATTATGATAACATAAAAATGTAACTATTCTTGAAACATAATTTGATTAAAAATACAAATGTGTTTATGACATTCAGTGGCTCCGTGACTGAAATACTGCTCAAAAGCTGCATCATCAGGGTGCCACCTGAAATCAGCAGAACTCATGCAGGTCAACTGTTGCTCAAATAAAAACGTTGGTATCTGTGTAAAATATGACATGTAACTTAAAATGACCACACTTTACATTGGTTTAGTATTATTTTTGCACATCTTGACTCTGCAGAAAGTTGTATGGATACGGTATGGAGAAACCTGTATAAATACATTGCATTGAATATTTTGAACATGCCCATGCCCAACATTGAAAATCATTAAAACTGTCTGTTCCTCTCTCTCCCTGAATCAAGTTAAACTTTGATTTCAGTGTCATGTGTTCCCTAAATATTGACTATAGAGGGGAACATTGGCCCTCACTCTGTGTAATGTAAAGACAGACAGATCAATAATCGAGCCTTGTGCAGCGCATTTACAACTGCAGTCACTGCTCATCACTAAACATGCGGAAGATTATATGCACGTTTGGCATGAAGGAAGGACAGAGGGTCAACAAGGTTTTATGAAGTAATTTTACTCAGTTTTGCAACATGTAGACTTGAACTTAGAAAGTAATGTATTCTTTATATTCACTACAGTATGCAAACCAACTGACTCAAACTTTACAACGCAGTGTGGTGTTATAAGGTCAAATACTACTCAACATTACAAGTGAGATCAACTTGATGGATCAATTATTTTGTATTGACATTGTTTTATTTTGCCTTTTTTCATGTTTAATTCATCACTACATCTAAGGCCAGTTCAAGTCCTTTACTACACCATCCTACCTCTTATATATAGCTACCCTAATCAATAACAATATTTCTCGGCAAAAATAATAACTAAAGTAAAACAGTCAATCCAAATACAGAGTACTCTTCAATGTGTGGCTTCAAGGCAGCTTTGTCTGCTAACACCAAGAGAAGAAATAACTAGACCTGACATCAGCTGACTTTAAGCTTTTTCAGCAAACGCAATGTGGAGGACTGTCAGCGGCCTCTAGTGGATCATCGTGTTTCTGCAGAACATCATAGATGGTCCCTCTGTTTTTTTTTAATTTTACCTAACCGCAGGGTCCTATGTTGAATCCCATCAGAAGCTATAATGTCCTTAGTGGCCTTTAACATGACTCTTAAAATGTCTATTTCCTGCTCACCATATTTAAGCTTCTGTCCCTGATAAGAGCAACAACATCGCACACTAATTTCAAATAAATGAGATGTGAAATGTAACAGCAGATTTGGCAAATGTAAATTTTACACACATGTCAATGAGTTGTAGATTAATTAAATCTGTCCTCTATACATGTAGACTATTACTGTTTATTATTTAATTCAGGAACAATATATTGATTTTACTAAAGTTCCTTGGCTGTAGTAAAAAAAAAAAAAACTGCAAAGAAAACCTTCAAGTTTTGTATTGTATTGACCAACAAAGAAGACAGTAACTTCATGTCCATTTAAAAGAAAACATCATAATCTGCATCAGGAGAACCGGTTCCCTCACTTTGCGATGCAAATGGGTTGAGTCAATATTTAATGTCCTAATACTACCATTTCCTTTTTTCCTCTTTAATTCTTTAGGTTTTCAAAAATAATTGCATTTAAACGGTATAAATAAACAAGTTTAAGTTTACCTAGTTGTTTTATCATTTGATTTTTTTATAACATTCAAAATGGTTGACTTTTTTAAAAATATATATATTTTACTTTATAAATTGTGCCTAAAAAGTTGACTTAAAACAGCCCAGTTTTCAAGAGAGTTTTAAAAATGGTTTAATCCCCTTTACTCAAGCAGCAACAGGCTTGATGTGGTAGCATTGGGTTACAAATTGGCAACAGCAACAAAAGCAAACCTCAGACTACTTTATCACTGCCTCAACCCCCCATAGTCTGTATTGTACTCACTCTTAGGTAGAGATAAAAACTCAACGTGCTTATAGAAACAGGTGTCGGGCTTCAGGAAGAACCACACGCGCGCACACACACACACACACACACACACACAAGCATACACACAGTTAATTATTTATCCACTCTCTGAAATGCTGACATACACACCACCCTGCCTGCAGTGACACTTTAGCCTACACAAGAGAGGTTTACTGTCATAGGCACTTGTGGAGGGGAGGGGTGTGCATCTTCAGAGAGGCTGAAGAGGGAGAAGTCACGCAGTGGATGGAGATGAAATTTGGTTTTAACTTGATTATGTAATACTACCAGTGCTTTTCTTTCAGTTTGCATCAAAACACAAGAGGAACTTGTTATGTATTAAAGAGGTCACTCTACGTTTCTTCCTTTTTTTCTATCAAAGCAAATGATAATGCCGATGATTGTGGGCTATCATTTAAAGTTCTGTCGACCGAGGAGGTTTAATGTCAAACATTTTTATACTATAACACACCCCTTTATTTATAGTTAGGCCTATGTATGACCGTCAATGCAATATTTAGGCTATACAAAACTTAATTTATACATTTTTTAAGAAGTAGACATTGACTTATTTTTGTAATAACAACAGGCATGTTACGTGCAGTTGCGGAATGCTTAACATAGTATCAGGATTTTCCCTCAAATGTGAAACGTTTATTTTAGATATTGTGCTAATAATAGTCTCCAGTGATTATTTTCCATACGGACGCTGCTGCAACAGTTTCTACGATGGAAGCAACGGGTGTGGACGAGTCCATTCAGCGCGTAGGGGAGTTCAATGTACAAAACATAAACTTCAAATCGGTAAATAGATACAAAACATATTTAGAACAACACAGCTAAATTACTTTCCCCGTGAGTTCTCGTGTATTTTCATTACAAGATGTACTTAGTTATCCGGAAGCTTGACGAAGTTTGTTTGCTCGCCTTTAGAGAGAAAAGAAACCCCCTCTGTTAGTAACTTTGTAAAGCCGGATGAAAACCGAGCTCTGTGCCACATCTTCCACTGAATGATAAAGCCGCTTCACCGGGAACTGGAGGCAGGACCGAATAAATAAGAACGTAGCTTGGAAAAACAAATCCAGCCTGTTGCTGTTTAACATAACATATTTTGTAGTTAGTTCCGGAATTGACAGGCAGGCGGTAAAAGTAACACGAGCATCTTGTACAGTTGCCCGGTCTGCTTTTCCCAGAGTTTTATCAACAGCTGGAGGGGTGATAGGTTAGGCGACTCCGTTAAGTTGAGGGTTTAGTGACGTCATAAAGAGGAAAAGTGGGCTTAACCAAAAGTGTGGACTTTTTAACCGGGAGACTCATAAACAACTCATGTGAAAGAGGTAAGTTTTCATCACTTTATGAAACCAGTTGAGAGCGTGTTGTCAACTTAGTGTAGCAGCTCCAGAGGTTAGGCTGCCTTGCCTTGTCAGTTTCCCCGAGACACAGGAGGGTGTTACAAGGGACTACACCCATACTGGACCGGCCTACATCTCACCTAGTCTTTCAAATGTGTCGAACTGTTCCGACTATACTCAGCCTCTGGCACACCCTAAAATACACTTTAATGCATTTAACGTGTAACAAACTGTAAACAAAAAGAAAGAAAAATTAATCTGTTAATATGATATTCAAGTATTTGGATAATTGAGATGTTTTTTTTTTTTGTAGTGAGGATAAGTAGGCCAACCTCTATCAAAAGTGTAAGAATTATAAAAATCGGTATTTTTTTTAATTTATTCACAAACTTTATTAATCCAGAGGGGAAAATCTGGTTTTACACTCTGTTATTGAGAGACATGCTTGTCACACACATAGGCCCGAATTACACACATTACACACATGCACAAACAGGACCTAAGGACATGATGTAGGTAATGTAGGCCTATACTTGACAACTTTAAAATGTATATTCAGCAGTACTTTGAGTCTTCAACTTTAGTCTAAACAGGAAGGGATTTGTGTCATGCCAATACTTGAATAACTTGTGACCGCAATGATTCAGATAGCCTACAGTTCAGTGATTTGTTAACTGGGAATTCATTTGTCTTGTGTTGGTCACGTTTGCAGTTTATGTACTTTTTTTTTCTTGTGTCTTTCTTGCCAAGGAGAGAAGATCTTAATCTAAGTGAGGTTTCTTGGAAAAACATTGCTTTACCATCATGGACACATTTTTAAAATCAAACTCATATTTCGAAGGTTTGATGGAGTCATTACCCGGCTCTGAGAGAAAAGGACAACTATGTTTACACTGTTGTTTCCTACTCCTTTTATAAATTACTAATACACAAGTCAACATGTGAACAAGCGTGTCCGATATTGAATAAGCCCACTCACTGGATGAAAACATTCTCATAAACTCACTTCTATCACCAAATCATTGATTTGCAGATGGTAACTTTTGCTTGCGATACAGTTGCACAATGTGTGATTGGAGTATGGGTTTGGAGATTAATCAATGAGAATAATGCAGAAAAAAAAATTAAGGAAATTGCTGTATTACATACAAATATTTGAAACCTCTCAAGTCTCAATATATCTTCCGCCCTGCATGTGCCCTGGATTGATAGCTACACCGCCTTCCTCTCATAAGCTTCAGCACTACTATCCTGTTGCCTTGACTACTGGTGTGTCAGGGGACTTCATCCTGATCCTCCGCATGGTTCTCTCTGACACTCAGTTCAGGGAGAGAGAAAAAACAGAGCGCTCGTTTAGTCTTGTTCTTCCTCCTCTGACACCGGGCTGACTCCTCACCCACCTGATGCCGTCTTAGTTACCTGTAGTACACACAGTACTTCAGGCTGCAGTCCTGCTCTGCTCATACACACAGGCCACAAGAACTACTGAAACGGGAAGTCTGCTTTCTTTCCGTGCGCTGAACCATGTTAGTTTGTTTGATTTACATTCCATTCAAAAGCGGACAGCATGAAAAATGTTTTTCTGTCCTGCTTGTGCAGTGTTTACTATGGGAAAGGTCGGTTCTATTTTTGGGAGAAAAGAAATATCCAATTGGTCATCACATTTTACTCAAGGGCTGCATTTACTCATCTTTTAACCTACTGATGTTTTATTTATTTTGTAATCTATTTGTCTATAAAATGTCATTGTCCAATCTTCAGTGCAGATGTGAACTTAACTATCATAGATGGCAAATAAAACTGACAAATATTAACAACTTCAAAGCTAAAGCAAGTGATTTATTCACTAAAAAAGTGCATTCACCATTTATAATGACATAATAGTTTCATTCCATTTACTGTCTACTTTCATTTTTTATAAAATCTTTACGCGTACATATTTGCATGTAAACTTTGACACCATATATTTTTGTTTTCCACAGCATCATGATTTTGATTCCGTAAATTTGCTGCCCTAATCTGCCCCTGTACAATGTTCTGTACCGTAACACACTTTCAGCTTTTCACCTCTCCTATCCCGTCTTTCGAATTTTCTTCTTTGCTTTGGAAAAGTATTGAGCATTTTGAAAAAAGAAGAAAGAAGGTTTTCTTCGTTATGACAAAAATGAGGTGGACCTGCAAACAGCAGTGAAACTGGTCTGGTTAGAGGTTTATAGCTGTTATTGCTGTTTGGGGGTGGGGGCGTTATGCTTGTTGCATCGAGCCTGTGTAAAACTGTCTCATTAGGCAGTCAGTGAACCCCTCTGGAACAAAAAGTGGACCAGAGAGCTCTGGGATTGCTGTGGGGGTCTGGGACAGGAGAGAGACTGTTGCTGTGTAATTGAGGGGAATTGCAAACGCTGGATAGGGAATGGGAATCTGGAGGGGCTGTGGTGTGTCAAACAACGCTCGCTGACTTTGTTACAGTTCTCGTCTTCTATGCAGGGAGATCATGTCACTTTCTGTAGTGGAGCTCAAGAAGTTATTTTTGACCACATTTTGAAACATTTTCCACCGCATCAAGTCGGGACGATGAAAAAAAAAGCCGGCAGAATTGCAGAGTTCCCAGCTGTGAAAACGTATTAACTTCCTGTGGTGTTTTTAAACGCAGACCTGTTTACTCACGAAGGAATGACTTGTGTTACATATTTAGTTGACATTAGGCTAGTTTCCCTGTGTCACGGAATGAAAAAAACCCACATTGCCTTGAGATTTGCTTGATCAATACCAGAAAATTCAAAAAATATTTTGGAAAATGAAGTTAGCATGATGATGTGAAATTGGCCTTTCAATTCCCTACTTTACGCTTTTGATTCCACCTTAGGTTGAGGCTTTAATGAGCGTTTGAGGTTATGCACATCAGTAAACCAGTTTTACTCCTAAAAATGTGTAAAAAAAAATACTTTTGTGTTATTTTAGCTTACCGTTTTCTCTCAACGGTACAAACTGTTTATTTCTCCAGAACACACAAACTCTTCATTTAGCCTCAGAGCTTCCTTAAAACATCATCCTAGGAGTTTTCAGTCTTCCAGCAGTGAATATTGTAGGCTTTTTTAATGTGGCTTTGTGTGCTTAAGAGGAATAAATAGCAACGCCCATATTCATGTCTGCTCCAGCTCAGCCTGCACACGGAGCTGTCCTGGAAAAGTCCATGTGACCCAGAGCTGAGGAGGTGCTGCTGCTTCCTCATCCTGTTGTATGTTAGAGCGGAAGGACAACGGTCAGGCCTGCAGGGCACTCTGTCATTTATACCACTGCCTTGTTAAACCAGAGTAAGCAGACAAGGACTTTCTATTCTCCAAGTGACCATCAATTTGATTGAGCTCTGTAAAGTGTTTTTAAAGTATCTCAAGATCCTTTCATACAATAGCATAGTGCAGTCTTAAAATGTGATAGAAGACTTTGGCTCTGTTTGAAACCATTTTCATTCGCAGCAGCTTATTTTTGGCCAGGCCAGAAGCATGGCTCCAGAGAAAGCAGTTCTAGTCTGTCATTGCTCAGTCCACCGCTTTGGTCTGGACTACACAGATCTCAACAATTTCTTTGATGGATTGTCTTGAAAATTTGCAAAGACTTCTATATTTTTTTATGTGTAATAATATCAACACAGGCTTCATAGTTGGACATGTAATTTGATTTTTTTAGATTATTTTTGGGCATTTTTTGCCTTTAATGGAGAGACAGGACAGTGGATAGAGTTTGAAATCAGGGAGAGAGAGTAGGGAATGATATACGGGAAAGGAGCCACAGGCTGGATTTGGACCTGGGCCGCCCGCTTGGAGGACCATAGCCTGCATAGGTGGGGCGCGCGCACTAACCACTGCCCCACCAGCGCCCCATGGGCACATTATATTGTCAGACTTTTGCAAACATGTTTGCATGCTGATGCAGACAATAAGCTTGAACCGTAACTCTCCCTAGGTAATGCGTCACAGATTCTGTAGGCTTTCCATCCTTTTTTTTTATGTTTAAAAAGACGAAATGACATAGAATCAAATGTTTTCCTCAAAATCTCATCTACCACATTTGTTGGAAACATTTTGGACTTAATTATGAAGAACAAAACAAATCATCAATGAGGTGCCTGTAAAAGTAACGGCCCGCGTTAATGTGATTTCTCTACTATCCAAAAGTCGCATTGTTAAGAGTATGTGCCAATGGCTGCTCCTAAAACCTGCCTGCTTCTCATTTCACTCTGTGACTTGGATTAATAACACTGCAGGAAATTACGCCAATGTGGCAATCATCAGAAACGAGGGCACACGTGTGTCAAAAAGACCTCGTCCAAATTGACATTGCTCTCACTTGTTCCTCCCCAGATAGAATCATCCTGGTGCCAGGGGAGATACGCAGGAGAGATGTGATTTCAATTATTGAAAAAGAGAGGGAACACGGGGATAATGCATCTCTCTGTCAGATTAAGTCATTATAGAAAACACGGATGAGTGGAGGTGTCATTCAGAGAGATTATTATGTAATTGAAGCGCACGTATTATCAAAGGGGCTCATGTACTATAGCTGGAAATAATGTTTCTCTCTATGTGTCATTCTTTTTCCATTCTTTCTTCCTTCGTGCCCCCGCACATCTCTCTCGTTCTTTCCCTCCTACACACACACTTTACCAGATACATGTTGTTAAAGAGACTGGCTCAGGATTTGCTAAATTTCTCACTAAGATTTGTTTTTAAAGGCGCAGCAGTCACAGTTTGTAGCTGTTTTTTTTTTTGTTTTTTTTTTACTCTCACCACGCGGATTTTGGCTCTTTCTCTTTCTTTTTGTTTCTTTCATTTCACATAAAAAGGCCACAACAAAATATGACTGCACTCTTGTGTGTAATGAAGGATAAACATTATGATTAGTTTTGTAATTTGTTGAGCCTTTAGCAGGGATTTTTTCTGTCTTTTTGTGGCATATGAGCAAGTGTGTGCGGGCCTCTCCTCCTCCTCTTGATGTACATTGCACAATAATTTGTGTCTTTAAACCACTGTATTTTCTATAAAATAGGTTTATTTTTTTCTTTTGATATATTAGAAAATATTTAGCCCCTAACTTTATTTTTGTATTTTCATTTAAAAGCAGCACACAAACTTTCAGGTGTCATATTTTAATGCTTTTTGTCTCACCGGTGTTTGCCTGTGCTTTATCAGTGTGTTTCATGCACAAACTGCCCTGATTTAATATCTATAATGCTGTTGTGGTTTTATTCTAGTTGTTTTTATGCATCCTCATATCCCCAATCCTGAATGCCCCTGCTTACATGAATAAACAGAATGTATCCATGGAAACAGATTGTAGACAAACCACAGAAACTAAAGGTGAATAGGCCCAGGTGGCAAAAAGCTTCAGTGTCCTTGTTCGCAATGGTATTATTATTATTATTATTGTTTTTTTTAGCAATCATCACTGTTTCTTTTTAATACAACTGCTTCAAATGTGCATTTGAACATAAAGGTGGGGTTATTATCCGGCCCTCTCTTACAGCCAGAATGAGCCTGACCGCTTAGAAAGTGGCTTTATGATTAAAATCAAAGCCTCAGGACACTTTTCCCTCCACCATGCAGTGCGGGGTCGATAAATGAACACCGTGCCTGAGGACACATACTGTATCCACAGAGACCAGCCCCACCTCCGTACCCCCAAACGCACACAGAGACACACATATTGTAATCTCTTAACAACTTTAGTCGTTTTCTGAGGAGCATCTTTAGCACACATGTTATGTTAACAGACTGCAGCAGGCTGTGAGGAATTACTTTTATATTGACCCGATAAATCCTTCATGGTATTCATATGAAGTTATTAATGATGGTTGTTGGTCTCCTGCAGGAACAGAGAAAAGAGGACAGATAGCGACGTTGACCGGAAAAGGTGCAGGGAGAGTGGAAAATTTAAAGCACAAGGAAAAAAACACTAAACCAGCTATCTGCCTGCCTGAGAGAGCGGCATCATGGGTAAACAAAACAGCAAGCTGCGGCCTGAGGTCCTCAACGACCTGAGAGAAAACACAGAGTTCACTGACCACGAGCTGCAGGAGTGGTACCGCGGCTTCCTCAAGGACTGTCCTACAGGCCATCTCACTGTGGAGGAATTCAAGAAAATTTACGCCAACTTCTTCCCATACGGAGACGCCTCAAAGTTTGCAGAGCATGTGTTCCGCACGTTTGACACCAATGGAGACGCCACCATCGACTTCAGAGAGTTCATCATCGCCCTGAGCGTGACGTCCCGGGGCGGCCTGGAGCAGAAGCTGCGCTGGGCCTTCAGCATGTATGATCTGGACGGGAATGGGTACATCAGCCGGGCAGAGATGCTGGAGATAGTTCAGGTGAGGACACAGTGTATGACTCATGCTACTGAGTGGGCTTTCCCTAATTGATTTCTACTCTGGTTCTCTTACCTGATGCTGGTGGGCAGCGGCCAAACTCCTCATCATCTGACATCCTTCCTTTTTCTTACCGACCATAACTGACTCGCTGTACCAAATGAAATGTCTTTATTTATCCTAACTAGTACTACTACTGAACAATATATTATTCTACAGTTTGCATTTGGGACATAGATACAGTAACAGTTAATAACTGTGGCCATCATTTCCATAATTCATGGTTTAGTTTGGTTGTCAATTTGAAATCCCCTCCCCCACAAAAAATGCTATACCATGAGTTGAAAATCTATTTCATATCCAGTTCACTATCACATACAAAAGCAGCATATTCTCACGTTATTGCAGCCACAACTCAGGAACTGATTGATATATTTTGCTCAATAAAATGCCGAACATTAAAAACATGATCTGGTTAATTCATAAAGTGTGTTTTTCGTTTATCAGTCCATCTTTCTGATGACTAAGTTTTGATTTAGTATTCAACTGCGGGTCTGAATTCATAAGATGACCCTTCTTGGTGGATGCAGGCTGCCCTTTCTGTGTTTTCTTATCACTGAGGCTATATTTACTTTTCCAATATGGTGAGCTGAGCAGCCTGCAGGGCCATATCAATATTAGCTCAGTCCGTTGTGTTTGTGGATACAAATGAATGTAAGCGGGGGAAAAAAAGAATGCAATCGTTGAATGCTTTCTGTTTTTCCGCAGAAGCCTTTTCTTACCCCTGACCTTTAGATGATCTGATATGTGTTGTTTAAGCAGGTACAAATGAACACATTAGACTTTGTTCAGAGGGCCTGTCTGTGAGTGTAACAGCAGGATGAGCTTTGCTTGCCAGACCACCATCATTACCAGCTAGCAACAGAAAACATGATAGAACATTAAGATGAAAGATATATGCAGTTAGATGAAACGAATATGTCAGGCGGCAACAGTTACTGTATATTTCCACTGCATGAATGATGAACAAGCACAGCCTACCAAATGAAACAGCACATAAAAGCATGTTTTCTTACCTTTATAGGCAATTTACAAAATGGTATCATCAGTGATGAAGATGCCTGAAGATGAGTCCACACCAGAGAAAAGGACGGACAAGATATTCAGACAGATGGACATCGACAATGATGGTAAGATTGATATTTTAGTAATTTCTATATGCTTCTATATGTTTATCACAGGAAGTAAGGTATTTGGAAACAATTTTCCCAACATTTACATATTTATCACTAATGATTATATCAATATTCAGTCCATTTTTTTAAATTGAAGGTTTTCAGAAGTAGTGTACTTGGCAGTTGTAATGGATAATGAACAGCACAGCGGACATTATAAGAGAAATAAATCACAATATTCTCGTCTCAGTCCGAAGGGGTTCATACAATGAACGCAATAATGACCTGTTAGCTTAGCTGTACATTATCCCACTTATTCAGAGGCTACTTAATGCAGAAAATAATAACCTGACAAGAATAGGTTTTCAGAAGAACTTGTAACATTTTCCACCTCGCCTCACTGATCAGTATGGGGAAACAGGAACTACAGAAGATGGTTGGAAAGGAGAGAAAGAAATTGAGTCACATAACAACATGACGTAACACGAACACGACTCACAACATCATTAACAGGCTTCTGCACCTGAGCCTGCTGTGCCAGCGGTCTGACATTTAGTGTGAAAAGGTGACACAACACATGTAACATGTGCCTACGCATTTCCTGACTTGCTATTCTGAAGGTTTCTGACACGTCACGACTCAGTCAGACATTAGAGCTATTAATACAGCAGGGGCCAGCTGACTTTGTTTTAAAGCAGGATTTTGGTTGTAGAAAGACTTCAGGTCAAACTGTGCGTCTAAGAATGAAGTTTTATTACACTGCACGGTTTGTCACACCCACGGGCACAGCTGCACTGTGGAGTAAATCCACTAAAATTAAGTTAACCCTCCCAAGACCTTTATACAGATGCTGTCTGAAAGAATGATGTCCTTATTTTAAAGACATTATGGAAGACTTAGAGTCTTCTTTTTTTGTTGAGGATGAGAATAAACTTCAATAAAATATTAGGAGTGGTTGTAACTTCTGCAGCAAATGTTGTCAACTTTATTTAAGGGCCTTACTTTTAGTTACTTGAAAATGCACCTGCCTTAAATACAAACTGGGAAAAAGTCTCAGGTAAGACTTAAAATGTTAAGACAAAACAAGGTTGTATTTATGACACAGTGGTATGTCATTTCTCATGTAAAGTGCTTCTTAACAAGGTCTCTTCAAAGTTAGAAGTCACTTTCATTCAGATTATGTGGTAATAGAATTGTTCTAAATACATTCTCATGTTTATGTTTTATCAGGATAATCAGTTTTGGTTTATTGTTTAGTTTAGTTATGGCTCATTTTATAGTGGCCAGCATCTAATACTTCACATTTAAAAGTAATATCTAAGTTAAATGTTAAAAGAGGGTATTGGTATTCACACATTATCATGGGAAAGATAGGAAAGTCCGGGTTCCCAGGCAAGTTGAAGTTGTGGTGTCTGCAGTTTGGACTATTTCCTAGGTCTCTGAAATACCAATCTGAAAGGGGGAAAGGCCGGGTAAAGTTAGTTCATTTGTATATTAGGAATTGGTTAGGAGCTCATCTGTGTCTGAGTAGCGTGGCATTGTCTGGGAAAGGAATTCTCCAACTACCAATGACTAGTTTAACAGAGGAGTTCAAGTGGGAGAAGGTCAGGACAGAGACTATCAGGGATCAAGGGCAGGGTTGTTAGTGATGTGGTCCCAAATCCAACTAGATGGAGGGAATAGAAACGGGACGGTTCAGGAAGCAGAGGCAGGTAGGAGTGGGATGTAGAGGATTCATAGCACGAGCTCATTACTGGAATAACTGCAAAGTTTGCATAAAGAAAGACGGTAAGGGAGATGTCAGATGAAGCAGCAGAAACCAATCGGTTGATTTGGGGGCTGAAAAAAAGGTGGGAGAAAATCATCTATCTTCTTTGTTTTTCTTTCTTCTCTCTTACATTGTCTCCTTTCTAAGAACTCTCTACAGACTTTTGTGTGTTTTTCTATTTTCTCTTGTGTTCTCTTTGCTGTTCTTTTTCATGTGTAACATTGCACCAGGCATTGTCTCATTTTGGCCGTGGGGGGCTATTAGGGGCCATGTGTTAGGGGTCAGTAGAATCAGCTTTGTCACTAACTGGAGCTTGCATGTACGGAGCCTGGGTTGTTGAAGGTGGCAATGCTGTTTGGGCTGTGGCCAAGTGGTGGGGTAGGTAAGATAAAGAAGTGTGTGTGTGTGTGTCTGTGTGTGGGTATGGTGGGCGGTGAGAGCTAGCATGGAGGGGGCGTCCTCTCTAGGACGCCAGAGCTCACTGCCCAGCCTTCTCGAGGTGTTGTGGGACTAGTTGGATGAAACACCAGTGAAGGGAGGTTCCTATTAGACAACCCAGATAATGTTCTGGCACTTGCTGCCCATCAGTCTACTACACGGTTGAGTTGTTGGGCCCAGAAGGGGCAGTGTGGAAGGGTAGGTAGTCTCGGCATTGTCACTACCTAGCTCGCATAAACGAAGCATGGGTCTGTTGAAGGTGGCAACTAAGGGCCATAAAGTGGGTTATGTACCTGGTCAGTAGGGCATATATGAGCGCTTATCCTTTCATTAGGGCACAAGTATCCTCTTTTTATTATAAACAAGCATTATTCAGTCTAAACATCAGTAATATATATGGATGAATCAAAGCAAAAAATGTAGTGCTGCACATTCTTTCTTTTGTCAAAGTGCTAATCAATTCACCTTTAGAAGTCCTGAATTATCAGAGAACAGTACAACAGCACCACCTGCTGGTTATTGTGACTTGACATCCATTAATTCATCACTCATTTGTAATAAAAAAAATCTATAAATTGAGGTAATTAAGTTGTAAGATGTTTTATACTCTCCCTGTGCCGTGTTATGTGCTGAATATTTTTTCAGCACAAATGAATAAAATGATATTCCAAATGAATATCTGCAGCTCTTGTGTGGATATCATTGAGTCGCTGGCTGCTGTGTGATTCACCCCTCCTTCATACCTTCCCACTTCTGCTGACTTGCATTTTATTTTGGGTCTCTGCTTCACAGGTAGATTGTCTTTGGAGGAGTTCATCAAAGGTGCCAAGAGCGACCCGTCCATAGTCAGACTGCTGCAGTCGGATCAGGGAGCCTCTCGTCAGTTCTGAGGACAGAGACTTTGACAGACACACACTCTCTTTTACACAACCACAAACCCACATTCATTCAGCTTTTGAGGCTTGGCTGTCATCACACCCACCTCGACAGACATCTTTTCCTTGTAACACTCCGTGTCTGAATGTTTACATGGTTATTTTCTTCAATGTGGCTCCTTTTCTGTGGACTCTGGTGTGCTCTAGGTTGATGTATTCTTATGTTAAACTCTTGCCTTTAAATGGCTTCAACCTGTCCTCCATAAATGAAGTGCCATGTCATATATTTATACTGACCGGATCATGAGCTAGTATTATTACTCCTACTATGTTACACTTAAGAGGAAACTCATTACATTGCTTGTACAATTTGATTCGACTCACCTGTGTTGTTGTCAGGACTGCAGCTTAACAAGTGGATGTTCTGAACAAGCTCTGTATGCCTTCGATATTGCATGCGCTCTGTGATATACGGTTTCTAATATTGTAACAGTTTACGTGAATAAGGAGGCCGTGGTCGTTTTTATTCCTTTTTATTTTTGTAACAAAAATGTCAATTTGTTTTCACACAATTGAAATAAAGTCGTGTAAGAAAAATCTACACAAGAAGTCCCACAGTATCCCCCAGGTCCTTGACAGATATGATGTAAACCCACAGAGATTCACACTTGTTTTTAAAAAGACAAAAAAATAGAGTCACATCAGGTTGGACATTGAAGTGTTACTTTATCATTTCAAATAGGTGCTGAAGACGGGAGGAGGGAGCAGTATAAAACAAAACAAAAAAGAAGACTTGAATGGAAAACTGAAAAGCCACATTCAGAACCTCTTCCCTCCTCTCTTCAGCCTCTGATGTTCACCATGTACGAGAGGCAGAGTTCACTCCAGCGACACACACTGCCTGCTCCCTCCTGTTCCTCCTCATGTAACAGACAAAGATGATGTGAGAAACTGCAGATGTCTCTCATGTGTCTTTTCTGCAGTATTTCAGTAACCTGGCGACCGGGCCTCCTATTCGTCCACAGGAGAGAGAAGGCGGGTCACACAGGATCGGACCAGACCGGATCCAACCGAGCCAGTCTGGATCAAATCCTGCCCTGTTCAGGTTCATAACTCATCCTTGTCAAAGTCATCATCCAGGTCTACGTCACTGAGGTCGTACTCCTCCTCAACAGGAAGCTGTGGATGGCACAGAATGTGAATTTTATTTTTTAGCAAAAATGGAAAAGAGCAGAAAAGCTTTTACTCCAGCTCATTTATAGATTGCTAATGCTGGATTTTCAGATAATCAGTACACCTTCAAGATTATTGTTTTTGCCAGGCTGTTTACATCATACTCAGGTCTCTTCTTAAATTGAAACAAACATTTGCAGATGTAAGAAAGGAAACACTGGGATGTCTTTCACACTCAAGAGGCTGTTACAGATGTTTCATTTATGCATTAAGTACAGACACAGTGAGAGCACGTTGAGGATAACTATGTTTAGTGTTGCAGACATTGAAGCATTAAGCCAAATATAATCCCAGGTTGGTCAAAAAAAGACACATTTTTGTTGCACCAAACAGCCAAAACAATCATCAAATCTGTCAGTCGGGACTTTGTTGGATCAAGTCATTTTGGTTGGCTGTTTTGCAGTTCGGGCTGTTCCAGGGATTTTTTTTATGGAATCAATTGAACTATTGTAAACATTGTGTGTGGAAATATATTTTAGAAAAAAAAGGGGGCTAAAAATCTGGACTGAGATTGTAACATGACGGATATAAAACTGAACTTTGCTGCAGAAAAAAAAACACAGGACTACATTGTCTGCATCTTTTGGACAATCAGCAGAGTTCTATTCACCTTTTTTTTTTTTTGCTTTTTCTTCAATTCTGTCTTTTACTTTTTAATGAACAAGAAGCCATAACAACTGTTATCACCCAGTCTCACTCATCAGACCTTGTCTAAATCTCCCACTCACCTGTCCGTCTTTGCCATCCCAGGGCTCAGCAGCTGCAATCTTGGGCATGACACCGCCTCCCAGAGTGGAAGTCGAGCCACGGCCCACAGAGAGCTCCCTGAGGAAAAGATGAACCACCATGAGTGCCATCTGAATTACAATTTGATTTTTTTTTTTTTTTTAATATGTCAAAGAAGACTCAGGAAACAAGGCGCCCACTACCTGAGGAACTCGTGTATGCCAGCGTCACTGAAGGAGCCCTTGAGCAAAGCAAACTTCATCTTCCGTGTGTTGATGGCGGCCATGGCGGGGTAACCAAATCCGCCGATACCAAGAGCGGCCTCCAGCTCCCTCTGAACTCCAGCCTCGGCCCACATCCATCTGATGAAGACAGAAGAGGCTGTTAGACATAGTCATAGTTAGTAATTCAACCAATACTTCATGTATGATCTCTTCCTTACCCCCACATCTTCTTCTTGTACTTCTCAGCCATATTTATCATCACCTCCAGATAACCGTTTCTGCCTGATGCACCTGATAGAAAGGACAGTGAAGGGTGAGATTTTCAATAATCAAGTTCTGTGTTATTATTAGAAACATTTAAGATGTGTGAGCTCTCACCTGTGTCCAGGATGTGTGGCAGGAAACCGATGACACACAGCTGGCTGTCCTCACACGTCTTCTTCAAGATGTCTTCACTGAGGATCTGAGGCAAAACCATTTACAATATAAGACGTGTTTTATAAACTTGAAATGATCGCTTTGCTCATGTCAGTGTTAATAACCAATACGCAGGTGTACTCACCTCCAGCAGTTCAGGTGGAGCAGAGTTGTCAGAAAACAGATCCAAAGCCCTCTCGATGATGTCACCTCGAGAGCGGCCTCCTTGGTAATCTTCGGGCTCCTCACCTTTGCGGAAAATCTTGATGGTGGGAAATCCACGGATCTATACACACAAAATACATTTATAGCTCGACTTAGAATCATTTGCATATTGATCTTTAATACAGGATGCAGTCCAGGAAGACGTACTTTTTGGTAACATTTTCCCCAACTTGTATCCTACTAAGCAGCATTGTTTAACAGAATAGTGTTTTTTTTGACTGGTGTGTCATGCCTGCTAATGTACTATAATACAGAAGTTGGTTTCAGAATTGAGCACCAATGTGGCACTTAACCTTATGGATTCACACTCACCCCGTAGCGGCTGGACACCGCCTGGTGCACAGTTGCATCTACAGCTCCGAGGCGAACTTTGCCCTTGGTCTGCTCCTTGACAGCAGTGGCTGCAGCTGCCCACTCAGGCTCCAGGCTGTTAGCAACCGAAGTGAGCAAAGGTTAGAACAATACCAACACGATCACAACACGTGAAAAACCATCGAGTCAACATGAGAGAATTCACAACTCAAAATAAAGAGTGCATCGACTTCTTCCAGAGTATGTTTCTGCTATCATTCATATTTTCTTTTACATGGTTTCCCCACATAAAAACATGATCGCATCTACTCTTCATCTCTCATTCACAAATTCTAGATCCAAGTAACAACAAAAGGAAACAGATGCATCTGAACATTTTTTAACCTCAGTCAGACCAAGACTGTGATTAGTCTTTTCTGCACCAAAAACTGAAACTGGAAGATGTATCCAAATGGTAAGTTTCATTTGCATCTTTTCTCATGTTGAATGTGAGCTTGTGACTAACTGGCAGTTGCCACATATCCACAGATCTCATTTCTTTTTTCCTAGCGGGGTTGGGGTTTGATGTGTGCTTTGTGTGCCCACAGCTAAAGATAAACAGTGGGAAGTATCATACTGACTTTTTGCAGTGTCCACACCAGGGGGCAAAGAACTCCACCAACCACACGTCGTTACCCTCCAGTACCATCTTGTCAAAGTTGTCATCAGTGAGCTCCACCACATCCTCCTTACTGCCACCGCCGCTGCTCTGCTGGAGGGAAGGGGAGTGTTACTTAAGCACAATTTGTAAAGTGTTGACAATGGCAAAAATAAATGATGCTCTGTTTACTCCTGGACCTACCTGCTTGCTGTAGCCAGAGCTGCCAGATTTGCCGCTCAGCCGATCTTTCACCAGAGAGCGTAAAGCATTCATGGCTCCGTCCACGATTGCCTGACTACTGCGGCCACCTTAAAGTTGAAGGACATGCAGAGGTCAGTCACTGTAGCCACAAACAATACCTGCCTATAGATGTTAAGTGTTTGACCAATAAACGATAAATTACTGTACTTCCACCTCATTTCCTTTCAGTTAAAAAAAAATAAATCATAAAAGCATATACATATTCTTTGAAAGAAGCTATTTGTTTGGTGTCCTGGTTTTGTGCGCACCTTGGTAGTCCTCCGGCTTGTTCTTGTTGGCTCCAAAGACCTTGATGGTGGGGAATCCTCTGACTCCATACTGACCTCCCATTGACTTGTGCTGGTCTGCATCCACAGCGCCGATCTTCACGATGCCCTGAGGGATTTCAGATCAAACAGGAGTGTGTACAGACTCAACTCTTATATACAGCTTATTATGGAGGCCTGTCAATCATTTTCTTCACATACAATCTCTATGCTGTTCCTAAAAGTCAGCATGTTGATGAACATGTGCAGAAACAGACTTCACACCATGTTGTTCAGATACATTATAGTAGCAGCGATCACTTTGTGCAGAAAAGCACGCTGCATTAAATAAACAGTGAGCCTGGCTCCTCTCTGGAACAAAAGTAATTTTATTCCTTCATATTTGATCTGCCCACATCTCATGTTAGGCTGATTTCTCACTGCTGAGTTACAAACTTCAGAGCAGTTCTAGCTGTGAATCAGAGCCGTTGTCTCTTGAGATCACGTCTTCGTTGATGCTGAGCAGTAAAATGAACAATCTTTTGAGTTTTGGAATAGCTGGATCGAATGAACAATGAAGGTTTGTGCTACAGCTCGTTGATTATATAGGTTCAGTGTTTCCCCGAGGTTTACAGCGTTCAGGGGGGGTGGGGACACGGCGACACAAACACTTGAAGGAATCTTGGTGTTCATGTGTTACTTTTAATGACATCTGTCCTTTTCTATCGGTAAGGTATCCTTAAATGACTTCTTTCCCTGATTTCCGACTCTATCCACGATCATATCTCTACAATAAAGACACAAAAAGCCCAAAAATAAATCTAATTTTTTTTTTTTTTTTACTTGACCTTCGGGGGGGGGGGGGGGGCACCCCCCTAGTATAATGGTAGGGGAAACACTGAGGTTATTAAGTATTCCTTTCTTATATATTCTCATCATAACAATACTGTCAATGGTAGTGTTGGAAAAAAAGAGTCTGATATTTGTTTTGTCACCCATGCCCCGCCCTGATTGAACAAGTAAAGGTTTCGTTTTGGAAGAAAAAGGATTTTCTTTTTTTATTTTCTTTTTTTATAAATGCCTTCAGCAGAAACAGAAAACTGTCAGTCGGCCTCGAGCCAAAATTGTATTGATTGCATAAATGCCAAGCTGTTAACAGACATTGTGTTTACCTTTAGAGCCGTCGCCGCCTTCTTCCACTCCGGAGTCAGACTCTGACAGTGACCACACCTGTGATGATGAACAGCGGAGAAGAAGGAAGGACTTTATTTCATTACTTATCACCACAGACACACTACATGAAATGAGTTAACCCTATGGTGCCTCAGTGCCGCTCGACTTCATGTGTTCAAAATACATCACAAGAACTGTCACTCTTATGAGTCATAGGACTGACACAAACATTTCAGACTGTCTTAAGACCACTCATTTAACCGCTTATAACAATTATTTAATGACCTATTTATCATGCTTTTAATAGAGCCACTTGTATGTCTGTGTTTCTGCTGTTGTTTTTGTGTCTAGCTGTATGCGCACTGATGCTCTTTTACACAAATGAAGTTCCTAACGGATAAATAAAGTTATTTGAATTGAATTGGACTGTCATTTTGCACATCTCCACTGGCTTCTTTACTGAGCTTGCTTGAAAACAGCTAGTCCATCGACTGATAACGATTAAATCAAATACCACAAGTTATAAAAAAAATGGCTAAACTTTCTGATTCAAGCATCTGAAAGAGAAACATTTTTGGTCTCTGTTCTCCTCTATCAAAACAGAAAAATTAATATTTTGTTTTTAGCATTTTTGCTTTTTTATGAACCCAACAACTAACCATATCTTAAAATGGGCAAGCTTTATTAATCTGGCAGATTCCTGAAGGCAAATCTGGCAACTTCATAAAAGAGACCTAAAATAGTTTAGATTGGCTTATAGTTAGTTGTGATAAGTGTGTACATTGTTTCTGAATGTTGTATCCATCCCATAAAGCACTTTTAATTGCTTCTATATTAGAGTGTGCACCACACAAACTTTTCAATGTGTAACTACAATGAAAGCCAAGGACGAACTGGCAGATTTGCATACAGTTGTCTAGAGCTTCTTCAGATCACAAGGTTAAAGTTTCAGTGAGGAGGAGCCAATGCAAACCAAGTGCTCATACAATGTGTTTGCACTGAAGCTATACTGCCACCTTGGTCTAACTGGGTTGATCTGAGTTCACATGTTATCAGGACATAATAGAAGAAACGAAGGTTACATGGACTCACCAGGGAGCATAAAACTCCACCAGCCACAGACTGTCACTCTGGATCACCTCTCGGTTGAAGTTGGAGGGATTGAGCTCCACAACATCATCATTAGCAGAGTAAAAGGCTTGTACAGACAGGACCAGGGAGCACCCCAACACTCCTGAAGAAGAAGAAGAAGAAGAGGGTTTATTCTCAACAATGACTGCTCCAATATGTTCAACATAGACAGACCTAAAGAGTAGTATTAATGCCTGAGAGGAAAACGAGACTCTCCTTTAATAAATATTATATGCAGAGTTAATGCAAAAGTGAAACTGACTTTAATTAATTAATTGATTTAACGACAACAGAGGCCTGGCACTGCTTCTTTGCACCTCAACTTAGCAATGTGAGCTAGCCACAGTAGCAGAAACGCTCTCAAAACAATACAAATGAAAATATAAACTAAATATGTTACTTCTATGTCCAGAAAAGCTGCTTCTTTTATCACTCACCTAGTAGAATCGGTGTCATGGTTTTTGCTGCTCGTCCCCTCTGTTAGAAACACACACAAGCTGCTGCTGCTGCTGCTGTCGCTGAGGCTCCCACAAAAGTAGATCGAAAAGTCTCACCGTGGCCCACGCTGATTGGTCCGCTGACGGCGATGCTGCGTCTCGACCAATCAGCGTGCGCCGGGTAGTTTACAGGTCCGGTACGCTGTAAAAGGAGGAGGAGGAAGAGGAGGAGGAGGACGAGGAGGGAGGCAACTTGTAACTGCACTGAATAGAGATGCAACCAATGTGATAAGAATGACTCAGTTTAACACGTCTAGTGATGGAATTTGCAGCCAGGACAAACATGTACCATTTTAATATTAATGTACAACACATACGCATGTGGTTAAGTAACGACAGATAGCACATATAACTAAAGTAGACAAAGAAACATCCTTAGAAAGCACAATATAATTGCCTACTTAATGCTGCTACTGTAACTTTTATTTCTGTTGAAATGTTGGGAGCCTTTGATACATCAGGGCAGCAATAATAAAGCCTAATTTAAAAAAAAAAAAAAAAATAAAGAATACTTCAGCAAAAGTAAAGCACTAACATTTTTGTAAGATTCAAAATTAGATAGACATTTATGTAAAAAAAGAAAAAAAAAATCATGACAGCAGCAGGAAATACATATTAAAACCAGAAAGTATTTTCAGTGAAATGAATGTAAATTATTAGAAGTAAAGAGTGCATTATGCTGTTTAGTTGACGTTGTAGGTTCATTATAACGATAACACTTTCAGTCATTGCTGATGCAACCAAGTGTAAACATTACTTTAGTGTTTTTTTTTCTCCAGTTGAAGAGCAGCCAATTTTCAATCTTCTGGATAGTTCAGTCTTAAACAATCACATCATTTTCCCCTTAGTTTATCATCTCAAGCAGTAAAGTAATAATGTGTATGCTTCTATGAATAAGCCGTCAAATAAGGGTGAAAATCGTAAAAACATTATAACTTCTAACATGTGGTTAGCTTGTATCATGTACTTCATGCCTACAATGTACAATACAGTGAAAATACTTGTGTAAAGAACTTTTATGCCTCCATTAAAATTGTTTGTGAATGTAAATACATCACAGGGACACGGATACATTTAGCAAACTTGCATATACAGTGACGCAAAGACGAAGCCAATATGTGTTTTGAAGAATAGCCTACCTCTAAAACCTCAAAAAGTTCTTGTTGGGATCCTAAAATGATTTTTTTTTTTTTAAATAAACCTGGTGGTGTTTGCTTTTACTTTCACTGCATTGCAAGTTTTTACACAATATATGATTCATTGTATTATATTTAAAGTCGTGTAATGTGGAAAAACCCTGGAGTTTATAACTTTGTGCATGATTACTCTCCTCGAAGGTAGTAGGCACATTTCCCCCAGAAGAAAATACTTTAACACCTGAGGACTCTATACTTTAACGGTGTTGCCACTAGGTGGCGACAAACACCAGGGTAATGCAACTGTTCACACACTGGATGGTCAGTCTGTGTGCTATTTAATAATTCAACATGAGATACTGCAGAACTGGGCAATGGAACTAAAAGCACAAGTTGTTAAAATCTTATCCTGAATTCATATATAAAAGCAGGTTTAGAAAAACAACTTTCTTTAGATTTGCCACTGATGGCACTGAACCTTGAACTTCACACAGCAAACCAACCTTGTGAATTAAAATCTTAATGCCAAAAACGTGTAGAGCTCTTTTTTTTTGTATGGAGTGATTTCGCCCGATTGTCCTTTGTCATGTTAGTTTGGCGATAGTCCTTAATTCATTCAAAATGGATGATGAATGATATGTCTAAGTCTGGGAAATATCTGGGGACAGACCTTGTATGCTAGTGTTGTATAAAAAAAAAAGGTGATTTACATCGCCAGGGTGTAGCTGCATGTTAATCGATTACCTTTGACTAATCGTTACTCTTCGAGCTGCCAGGAAATAAACGGTGGAGTGCTCGTCTCTGATTTCCCTGTTTGCTACTTTTCAATTCATTACATGCCTCTGAGATTTATGATCCGCTGTGCCTGGCTGCACTGCGCTGTGTCAAATCAGCTGCAGAAAACACAGAGCAAGACCGGAAGTCACACAGATGGCTTCAGAAATAAAAGAACAGGCTGTCTGGATTGGTACACTTGATGATGAATTTTTTTTTGGACTTGATATTATTTTTAAAGGGAAGTGTGACGATACAACACAAGTGATGACATTATTTACCATAACAAAAAACATATGATTTACTTTGTCTGTGCGTTAAGGCCCTGTGTGGAGTTTTGAACTTGATATGAAACATTAATACTAGTGTCTCTTTATGAAAACAAGACTGATTTTTTCTCTATCTTGACTTTTAGACAAAATCAACCCAAACAGGCAGTTCTTTATAGGACTTTTAAGCGAAGTTTAATGACTAAGAGAAGAGATCCAATTAAGCTTTGGCTTTGGGTTATGAAGACGTTTATGAAATGCACTTGGTAAATGTAGCCTACGTCAGTTGGCCTACAATTTAGGGTTTTTAACTTGAGTATTTCCGAGTCGTCTTGTGATACTTAGTAGCTTAGTAAGCAAAAAATGGGCTCGGTTTTGCTGAACACATGAAGAGTGGGGGGATTCCCTCTGTATAGGGTGGGAAAAGTTATGTAAAAGTACCTGCTTAAACTACATATTTCAAAGGCAAATACCATAACGTTTTCCAATTTATCTCAATACTTTGGTAATTACATTATCAGAGATGTTTTCATTTTAAATACCTTCATTCACACGGAGTAGGAGTAAAAACCAAAAAACGTTGTCGAGTGTTTTGTTTTGAAAGGTACAACAGGAAATTGCGTGTTGTGATTTGGCAAACTCGACATTACGCGCACTTCAATTCCAACTTTCTGAACGCACAGGCGCACTGTTCACTGTCAAACGCGGCTGTAAACAGAGAAGACTTCATGCTGGAGTCATCTCCGAGACAACATCTATTTATCTCCACGAAAACATCAGAGTATCGAGGCTTTAGGAGGTTTTACGCACAGCGCCAGCGCGTCTGGTGACTTGCGATTACTTTGACGGAACAGTTGTGTGAAAATCTCGGCTTATTTTTCTGAAGGACTTGTTGACTTCATAATGTGGGGGATCCCGAGGACGCGCTATGCGGACTGTAACGGCTCCGAGGAGAGTGAGGAAACGGAGATTGTTGTGAACATCGGTGGGGTGAAACAGGTGCTGTACGGGGACGTGTTGAATCGCTACCCGGACACCCGGCTGGCTGAGCTGGTGGATTGTTCAAACAAGTCTAATGAAGAAATATCGTCTTTTTGTGATGACTACGACCCTGACACAGGAGAGTTCTATTTTGACAGAGACCCTGAAGCCTTTAAGTGTATTATTGAACTGTATTATTATGGAGAGATCCACATGAAGAGAGGCATCTGTCCTATTTGTTTCATGAAGGAGATGGAGTTCTGGAAAATCGGTTCTGATTTTTTGGATGAATGCTGCAAATGCCAGCTGCAAGAGGTAGAAGATGAACTTGCGGAGATTGCGGAGAAAGTGAGAACTATCCTGGTGGACAGAGAGGGAGATCCGTCAGCAGGAGGCTGGCAGCGCTTCCAGATGTGCCTGTGGAGGATGATGGAGAAGCCGGACTCCTCTCTTCCTGCACACATCATCGCTATAGTCTCCTTTATATTCATCCTCGTCTCCTCCGTGGTGATGTGCGTGGGGACCATCCCCGACCTGCAGGTGGAGGACTCAGAGGGTCACCTCACTGAGCACCCAACTCTGGAGGTCATCGAGACGGTGTGCATCGGCTGGTTCACCATCGAATACCTCCTGCGACTTATCTCCTCTCCGAATAAAATAAAATTCGTCTTTGCTTTCATGAACATCATCGACTTCATGGCCATAATGCCCTTCTTCGTGGTGCTAATTTTGATCTCCTTCGGCGCCGGAGTGATGGAGCTGGCTAACGTTCAGCAGGCAGTGCAGGCTTTACGCATAATGCGCATTGCGCGCATTTTCAAGCTGGCACGACATTCCTCCGGACTCCAGACCCTCACATCTGCGCTGAAGAGTAGCTTCAAAGAACTCGGGCTGCTCCTCATGTACATGGGCGTTGGGGTGTTTCTTTTCTCCGCCCTGGGCTATACAATGGAGCAGAACCATCCGGAAACTTTGTTTACCAGTATCCCTCAGTCGTTCTGGTGGGCTGTGATCACCATGACCACCGTGGGCTATGGAGACGTGTACCCCAAGACCACTTTAGGGCGCTGCAACGCGGCCATCAGCTTTCTGTGCGGGGTGATCGCTATTGCTCTACCTATTCACCCCATCATCAACAATTTCGTGCTGTTTTACAACAAGCAACAGGTGCTGGAGACTGCAGCCAAACATGAGATCGAGCTGATGGCTCTGCGCTCCGGCGCAGCCGAGCTGGAAGATGCATCCAGAGTGCATAAACATGTTTGCGGCGCAGGGGTTTGGGACAACACCATGCGCTCCTGTCACAGCGACACATACATCCCCTTACTGAAGGATCCCAGGGGAGGGGCGGGAGTCCAGACCCCCAGCCTGGACACGAGCTTTGAGAGCACAGCCTAGGCCACAGAATAATGAATCTGAGGGACAAACAAGACCCGAAAAAAGAGAAATAATAAAACATCCAAATTCGGGTTAACGACACCATGATGGAGATATGCCTGTAAATAGCTGAAATAGAGGAACAACAGGACAGCAGTGATACTTACTGGGACCTTAAAAGCGTGTGAAGTATGGCGCCCATTAACGGGACATATGTGTGAGATATTGACTTGATGAGCTGTGCTTTTGCGCAGGGACTCCCCACAGACAGAGGGGCTCTGTTTGAAAAGCCAATACACTGATTGTCCCCCCCCCCCATATAGGCTTCTTATGTAACACCCCAATCCCCAATCCTCACACTCACTGTAGACTGCACTGTAGCTTATTCCTCCGTACAGACCTATGTATCACAATGAATGTTTGTTTTTCTAAATAAAGAATGGCAGCTGCTCCATGAGAAAATGAAGCTAATCATTTCTTAAGAGTTCACAAACATGGAAACAAAATTGAAAGA